ACACAACAAACAACAAAAAATTATGAACAATGTAGGCATACCCTCTGTGTATCATGTTTTAAACAATATCAACATTTCAAATAAAAAACCTTGAAAAATGTCTTGAAATCTGTACCAAAGAAAACTTTACTAGTGGAATGCCATTTCAAAAATAGATACATTACACATCTTGATTCCAGTTTTACTATTCAGAATAGTATTACTTTTCTAATGTCTCAAAACAATGCTCCTAACAATTTCCCATGCCTGATAACCAAATTTCCTAAAAACAATAAACTTCCACATTTTTGGAATGATGTATGTATTAAAATATTGTTCTAGAAAGTTCCAATAATTCACAAGATTAAACCATACCAGCATTGCAAGGAAACTTTGGGATTACTAATACCAAAAATTCTGCATTCTTTTGAAATACCTTTTTCTCTTCTATTTTAACCCATACTTTTTAGGTTTGTAACTTATAATAGGCAGCTGTGTTCTTTCACTACGTTTAGTACTTTATGTGACTAATTATTTTATCAATATGTGAGATAACAGCCTGAAATTTGAGGCAGTGATAAAGTGGTTTGTAACTCTAAGGAAATAATGCTCTTAAATATTTGAGCCCTATCTGAGATATTCCCTGTATGGCATCAAATAGAAAAGATTATCAGATAATTTTAAGCTATTTATATATTTATTTAGAACTTCAGAGACAGATCTAATCTGAAGGATATTACAGATCCCAAATGTTAAAGTGTTTATAGGATCAACATCTTTTCAGCAACAGGAGAGGGATGGGCCAGGTGTATCCAGAGGACTGATAGTCACATGTCCAACTGAGGAACATCTGAACAGGACCTTTACTGCAATTATCACCAATATGAAATGAGGTAGCAGGAGCTTATTTGAACACTAATGAGACATTTTTGGTATTCCTCAATTTTCCATTACCGTAGTAATTGCTGTACAAGATAACTATCCAATTTTGTTTCCTTTTCCAAATTTTATGCTTTAAAAAGCTCTTCTTTGGATCTTTAAGGTGGCTATTCAGAAAAAGTGAGAGAAGATGTAGAAAAATTACTAGGGCTCTCCCATTTGGAAATTGACAGCTTCATGAGGTAAAAGTCCCAAGTTTTTTAAATTATTATTGAATTATTATTACAAATTAAATCTACTTTTACTCATCTTCAAATAAGGATTTCGGAGTGGAACATTTTAGAGAAACATTTTGTTTTGCCTTAAAATTATGCCAAAATCCCCTGACCGTGGCATTTCTGGAACAGTTCAACTCTTTCTGGAAATAATCCTCCAAAAGCAGAAGTGGTTTGAGATATCACAACTCATAAAACTGTTGAACCACACCCAGAATTGCATGGTTTGAGGGGGAGATGTTCCAGATTTCTCTGAAACATTCCATTCTCAAGTTACTGAGTTTTGCACATTCTTTCTCCTAAATTAGGAATAAGCAAAGCTGCATAATACATTTTTTAAATTACGTGGAAGGGATTTCCAAGGATAATAACATCTTGGAGTGATACTGAGGGTATTGAAAAAGGAGGTATAGGGCCACAAGTTGGCATCCTTGTCTTAAATATTTAGCAATCCAATCAAGGTTAATTAAATTACAGGTAGTCTTTGGGTTATGTCAATTGTTCAGTGACCATTCAAAGATATAATGGTGCTAACAAATGGTACTGGGTCCTTGTAATTTTGACCATTGCAGCATCCCCATGGTCATTTGAGTGTGATCTGGGCACTTAGCAATTGGCTCAAATTTCCACTGTTGTATCCATGATCATGTGATCACAATGTGTGACCTTTCCTGCTGACTTTCCATGTCAGTGAAGAAGCCAGTAGGAAGAGAAAGATATATGCATTCCATTTCTGAAGATTTGATAAAATCTGTTCATTGTCATTGGATAGAAAACTGCTATCCATTTTTGCTTTAACAACTCATTTAGCACTCATTCATTCTTCCTCTAAGGATATACTAATGACATCTTATTAGCAGAGACATAAGCAAATATGGCAAGGACATCTGCACCAAGTGAGGCTTTTGCTACTGAAGTTCATAATTGTAGGAAGTCAATAACTATACATGTTTTCCTTCTATAAAGATTGATCTTTCTACTGATTAGAGAAGACCAAGGTTCATCCTCTTCCCTAATTTAATAGATACCTGAATAAGGCTCAGGCATCATCCAAAAAGGCCTAAATGTATTTTCAGGAAACTCATTCTTTCCCAATATTTTTTTTTTAAATTCTCCTTTAAAAAGGCTGCCCAAAGTGATTCACAATCAAATGAACAATATAATATCTAATCACTTAACAATGAATAACATGTTTTATTCTAGCCATTTATTATGAAAGCTGACAGATATTTTTTTTTGAACAGTGACATCACAGGGACTTTCCCAGGAAATGAAATTCTCTCACTTGTGAGTCAAATTGCATTTTACCTCAAATCTTCAATAGACGAACTTTTGGAAAATAACAGGTGAGAAATTACACCCCCACAAGTTGATTCTTATATATTCGTATAGTTATCTGTATAAAATATAGTATCATTTTCTTGTGTATTAAATCACCCACCAATTACATCATGGTTATATGGCATTTAAAGAGTATCAATATTGTGTTAAATGGTCCTGAATAATGCCTTCTAAATTTTAAATAGAATAAATGGACTTACGTGATGTTTCTCAACTCATTGTTTTTTTGTTCATATCAGTCTGAATTTTTAGATATGTTACAGGTTGGTTTAGTCCCTATCACAGAAAAAGAAAGAAGATCCATCCCATAATGATTCATCACTTTCAGCCAGATGCCATAAGGTAATTCAAGATCTGTGATCTCATGCAAAGTCTGCATTTTTAAAACTAGTTTGGGACAAATGGCTATAGGTTTGCACTCTTGTTCAGACCCATCAATACATGCAGTCCCATGCTGAGATTTAAGTGATGTTTTTTATGGATTCAATCCAGTTTCAATCAGGTTTGGTGGCATCGTTAATGCAACATGTATTATTAGTTATAACAAATATATCTCATTGATTTCGGTGCCCTAGCTCAGATAGTTATGTATGTTATTGTAAATTTTGGTCAGCTGACATAGTCGATAACAATCAAATTCAGAAATAGCAAAATATTTCCCTTATTACCTTATTAATAAAAGTAAATTATTCACTGATTCACTCATATGTGGTTGTATGTGTATGTATCAAATAAATAACACACTTAAAGTCAGAGAGATGAATAAAAACAAATACATCTATCCTCTATTTTTGAACTTCCTTAAACTATATGACAGCTGGAAATTATGAATTATTTATGGAAATTTAAATTGCCAACTTAAAAGGCTTAAGAAAAGAATGTTGACAAAGTGCTGGTCCTTCATGGGACATGAAAGGTGAATTTGGCTAGGCAGAGATGTTAATATCTAGAGATAAGATAATTAGTAGAAGGCTGAGATGTAACTAAACATATGGGATGAGACTGGATGTTAGATGTCAGGAAATGATAAAAGAAATTGAATTGTGGAGAAAGGAACATGCATAGCATCTGAAAAAAGAAACAGGCTGAGGAGCAGAATCTCCTCAGATCTCAGAATCTTGAATACACAGAAGAGAAAATAGGATTATACAAGAATTAGAAACATGAGCAACTTCAGAAATGGGAAATATGTTGAAATAGATTGCATTTAATCAGATTGCTGGGCCCTCAAGGCAGTATTATCTATATCGACTGCAGTAACTCTCAACAGGCTCTTTAGAGCCAGGTAGAGCGAAATGGAGATCAGCAAATCTTGCACAGTACAAAGGAGAACAAGGTTGCATAATTGAAGAAATAGAGTCAACAAGAAGGAAGCTTAAATAAGAAGGGAACACATTGAATTGAAAAGTAATGAGAAAAGTAATACTTTAGTGTTTAATCTTCAGAATGTTACATAGTGTCCTATTTAATGCTATCAACTAGAGAATGAAGACTTCTGCCAGATCATACTCCCCTTACTTCTTGCATCTTCTCCTATGTGCATATTCTTTGTAGCACAAGGTATTTTATTCAACATATGGCATCACTTTTTTTCCTTAGGCTTCTGACCAAATGGACTGTTCTAACAGAAGAATTGCAAACAGCCATGAAAAAGATTTTCTACACCACTGCTGTAGAAGAATGGATAGAAGAAAATGTCCAACCAAGCCTTCAAAGACTTCAAGGAACAGTAGATGATCTGAACTGTGCAGTACATGAACTGTCTTAGCATTTTGATATATGACTTTGCTAATTGGAAACTCAACTTTCAGCTAGAATCAAGCAAATAAATAATAGGGTATGTCCAGATGAATTTTAATAAGCTTGGCATTATGATGAAAGTCTGGGGTTATAAAAGATGAGAGTCTTCTTTCTATCATGCTTCTACACAGTGTAAAGTTATATACATAGTGTAAAATTTCCAAATTTAAAAATCATGCAAATACTTTATATTTTAAGTAAATCTTATTAGTATGCTTAAAATATTCCCCCTGAAGTGTGAGAAAAATTAAGTATAATTTTTCTCTTAAGTTCTACCATCTTCTAATTAAACTGGTGGACATTCAGGATATAGCAATCGGACTATTTCATGCAATCAAGAATTTTAAAGAATTCATTAAAAAAACGATTAACATACAGACAACTTAAAAATGGGCTTGTACGAATTAACGGAGGACTTTACATGGGATTGTAATGTGTGAGAAAGAGCACACAAAAATAATATCTTTGATTTAACTAAGTCTGTTTATACATTGGTAAGTAATCGGGCATCTGTTAGTGCATTTCGTGCATTTGAACATTTAGTGATTTCAGCTACTATAAAGCACCAACCGTTCCTTTGCCAGATATTTAATACAGGGAAAATATGAAATTTTGTTAAAGCAACTCTTTACTTTTAACTTCAAACAGGCTCCTTTCTATTTTAAGTATTAAGGTCATCCAGGCAAGAACTTTAATTAAATAGTATTTTTCAGTAAATCAAACTGCCTGGCTGAGATTAGTTTATAACCCAAATGTTTATAAATAAATGTTGAACTTCAACTTTTTTCAGAACTATCTAAAAGAAGAGTGCCTGTCTTATCCTAGTCAGAGATATCAATCACATTTCCAAGATGTTCTCAGATTGCTTCCAGCAGAATATCTTAATATTGACCCTAAATAACCATCTGTAATGAGTTGAGATGAGCAATGAATATTAGGTTCCATGTACCAGAACCGGTGACAGCCTCATGCCTAAATTTCCTTATACAGCTCACATTCTCTGACCATCTCAAAGACACAAGTCTGTGTTAGATTCAGTTTGATACAGAATCATTTCTTATTTTAATGTTCTAATTTTAATCTCATTTAGATGGATATTTTTTTCTATTGTATCAATTTCAGTGAATTGTTTTTTTAAATGCACATTTGTAGATACAAATCTATTGCTTAATTGTGCAAGAAAAAAAACTTTTAATTTCTAATGTCCTATCACCAGGAAACAAGTATTTATAGAATGGAATTTATAACGTTTCCTAAACCATTGTTATTTTTTTTTAAAGCAAGAAGTTGTTTTAAAAAGGAAGCATTACAATGTATATACTAGAGTATTTGAATACATGACAAGAAATATTAATACTGAGTATGAAACAGTGCAATATTTTTTAAATTATACAACTGAAAAACCACTTTATAAAGCACATCCACTTTCCAATGAACATCTTAACACTTTTCAAATAACCCGACATATCTGAACAAAAATATCTTTTTGACAATTTCGTTCAACAAGGTTCTACTCTAAGACACTTAGAAAACGACTAAAATAAGAATTGTCAAGACAATATATTTTGAGAATTTCTAGAATGTGAGGTATTTACTTTTTCTATCTGGAAACCAATGACAGACCTTTCTAGTTTAATAAAATATACTGGATTAGCCTTTTTGACATTTATTATTTTTCTTTTTAAAAAACTCCTCTAAACAGGAATATCTTACACATACCATTTTCCCCATTTTTAAAATAAAACTCCATCACTGAATTATCTATTAGACTGGATGTTTCCTTTGAACTGCATTTCATTTAATAGACATTGGTAATTGGTCCCAGCAGAGAATTAAATATAATCACGATCAAACTAATATTAGAAAAATGGATATAATAATGTGACTCATGAGTTGAAAACAAATGCACAAGCATGTGCACACACATACAAACTTTCTTTGTGCTTATCAATTTTAAGGATACAATATCAAATGTGGTTCCTGTGGAAAAGCTAACAATAATGTATCGCAAACGATCAAGCCAAAGATACGTTTTTGAAAAGTTGCATTCAAAACATTCAATTTCAGCTCTCTGCCTTTTAGAATTTATTATAGTCACTGATTTACCATTAGAGACTCATATCACTTCTGTGGGCCTTAGAGAATGGCCTTTGGTTGGAATTCCATTCATGTCCTTTTCTAGATAGGGAGAACCTAACTACCGTTGATTACAGAGTGGTAACCACAGGTTTACAGACTGCCAATTAACTAAAAGCAGGAGTCAAGTTTTGTTTAAAACAACTTGGGATCAGGACAAATTTCATGGGTAATCACAGACCACCTTAATTGCTAAGACAATTAGAAGAGGTTCTGCACTATGTAACATGTCTATAGCTTGTCAACTGGTAATCACTTGCAGGTGGGTCTTCTCTGGAGTTGCTTTCTGAATGTTCTTTTCCTTTTGTGTAGAAAAGAAAAACAGCCTCAAATCTCGGTGTATTGCTAAACTGATTTGCTCCAAAACGAAAGCTTATATTTTTATATTGCTGCTCCTGCAGAAGTGCAGTTGTTGAGAAATAGCACATTCCACATTCGAAGTCTGTGGCCTCATGATACTCTCGCTGGAGGATTTTATTGAAATTTAAAACAATCACAAGGAGTGCAGAAGGGGAAAGAAATAGGCTCAAGACTTATCAGGAATTAGGTAATTATCCAATTATGTCCAAATGGTATTTTCATCTGAAAATCTTTCAGTTAAAAGGTTCATTGATCTAGACCACGGGTGTCAAACTCGCCAACGTCACATTGCCATCACGTGACGTTTTTCCCATTCACGGAGCTGGGGTGGGCGTGGCCTGCATTTGATGCATCTGGCCCACAGGCCACCAGTTTAACACCCCTGGTCTAGACACTTTAAAATATGGAAGACTTTTAAACTCCTTTCTGATAGTTGCAAATCTCTGTGCTTAACATTATACACAGGAAGTTAACAATTAAAAAGTTGTTTTTAGAACTTAAGAATATAACAGATTCAAGTTTTCCACCATTCAGAGAATTTTTGGTTTTCACATATCAAGAGTTCATGTAACTATTTGTCCTTTGCTTGATCTTCATCACTAACATCTGTTCCACTACTCGTTTCAAGGCCTTCATCAATCTGTAACTCGTTCAGTTCAAGGAAACCAATAATGAGGTTGGCCATAGTCTCAACATCACTGAGGAAGAAAAAAAAGTAATAGGCAAGAATGAATGAATCCAATGCCTGCTTCAGCTGGTCATGAAAGTATGAAACTCTGTGCATCCATCTACTAAAGGCAAAATGTTTACTAAAATGTATAACAAAATCTTGGGCCTTTATTATTCCCATGTCTGTCTGAAAGAATATCACAGGGTTTTAATGTTAACTTCTATTTTCAAAATGAATTATGTTTCAGTCTGCTATCACAAAATTATTTAAACAAAATAAATTATGGGTTTCAGATGCCAATTATCTTCCTGATATATAATTAAGAAATATTACATTAATTTACCTGAAACACTATGCCTTTCCTGCTAACCTACTGATCTAATGGCTAACTAGCAGGAAACAAGAGACATCAAATATGTGGGAAAATTGTTAAAATACTTTTAAAAATGTGTAGCTTTATTTCTTCTGAAAATGTATATAACATTTTTTAAAAGTGCCTAAAATCAGCTACATGTTCTATAGCAGACATAATTAAAAACCTAAACTCATTTTAACTGGAGAACTGAAAATATTAATGACACATTTCTGACATCTACACTTAAAAAATTTAAAATTAAATATACTTAAATTCATTCTGGAATAGGTTGCAGTCATGAAAAGGCCATAACTTTAAATGAGCTGTGGTGGTGCAATGGTTAGAATGCAGTACTGCAGGCTAACTCACTGCTTACTCCTTCAGGAGTTGGATCCTGACCAGCTCAAGGTTGACTCAGCCTTCCATCCTTCTGAGGTCGGTAAAATGAGGGCCCAGATTGTTGGGGTCAATAGGCTGAATCTAAACCTCTTAGAGAGGGCTGAAAAGCACTGTGAAGTGGAATATAAGTCTAACTGCTATTGCAATAATTTTATATCTTTAACCGGAAAATGTAAGCTAATGCACAACTGAAGAATTTGAAAAAAACAATAGTAACAAAAGGACAATTGGATTGTTGAAAATGTGATTGCCAATCTCAGGTTAAAGGATACCTAACATATTACAATTACCATATTATTTGGAGTATAAGACGTTCTGAATTATAAGACGCATCTAGCTTTTGGGGAGGAAAACAAGAAAAAAAAAATCTGCCTCTGCCTTCCAGCAATTTGCTTCTTGCAGCAAACAGTAAACAACCTGTTTCAGTTTCAGCAAGCCTGATTAGCCCAAGCAGCTGATTGTCAGTTGGATCAGCTCCCGACGATCAGCTGTTTTAGGTTGCAGGGATTGCAATAATCTATTGCCACCTCAGCGTGACCCATTTTTGGCCTCCACATCCCATTTTCTACCCTCTGCACACCTTGATTTCCACCCCTTCTGGGTGGTGGGTATCAGAATGGGCAGAAAATAGGTTGCGTGGAGGCTGAAAACGGGGCGCGCAGAGGCCAAAAATGGGGCACTCGGAGGCAGCAATAGGCAATGGTGATGTCTGCAGCCTGAAACAGCTGACTGTCTGGAAGCCGATCCAACCGACAATCAGCTGCTTGTGCTAATCAGGCTGTGCTGAAACTGAAACAGGCTGTTTGCTGCAAGGAGGCAAATTGCTGGGAGGCAGAGGCCAAAGGGTGGGAGTGGCAGTTGGGCAGGGCTTCGGCAACATTCACTGTATAAGAGGCAGAGATATTTCCACCCACTTTTGGGGGTGGAAAAAGTGTGTCTTATACTCCAAAAAATACGGTAATCACAAAGGACACAGTTCATACATACCTTCTGCAGCCCATCACTGCATTCTGTGTGAGAGGGTGTGAGAATCCAGTACCAAATCGCAGTACAATTAGGTGCCCCTTCCCAAAGTAACGAACCTTCAGTTCTTCTACATTCACAGCTTGTATTTCATCCAATGGAACAACCACTATTTGCAAGGAGCAAACACTGAATTGTTAGTAAAATAATATCAAGCAATACTACGTACAAATCAAAAAAGTAGCAAAAACTATCTGGATCTCCTTGCATGCCCTCAATTGCCTCCCATTAATTTTAGGGTGAACGGAGCTAAGAAGCATTGACCCTAGATAGCAGACTTTCTGAATTCTTTAGAAAATACGAGCATAAACTCTTTTTTCCTTTCTGCAACTTAGGTTTCTCCTCCCAGCACTTTTGAATGATGATTTGTACATTTCAGGGCAAGAATGGAGTTCATCATTCATGTAGTGAAAATCTTTTTAAAGCAACAACACACTCCAAGAATCTCTCAAACCCTAACCATAAATTTAGTTTGTCTAGTGGGAAGTATGGTAGCTATGTGGTTAGGAGGTTAGTAAGCCCACATTCACCAGAGTGCTTCTGTGTGAAGGGGTGAGCTCCCATCATTCACTCCAGCTGCTGCTGACCTAGCAGTTAAAGACATGCAATTGCGAGTAGATAGCTAGGTACCATTTTGGTGGGCACATTAATGGGACATGAAAGGAGCCTCTATCTGGGTATTCCCCAGGCAATAGTGATGCTACCAGCTAATCCTTTCAACTAGGAAGTGCCTTGGTGCTTTCAACATGAACGCAGGTAAGTTTCTGTAGTTGCCCTTTCATAACAAAATGATTACTAGCTTATAATGATTACATTTTGATAATTTTTATTTGGGAAACATGAGTTTCCCAAATAAAGTCCTGTATGAAATCAATCTACACAATTGCATTGTAAAATTGTACTGCTTTCTTGTGCACAGATTAATGGAATATGAAGCAAATATGGTCTTAGTAGCTACCGTGTTTCTCATATAATAAGGCCGGGTCTTATTTTTTTTTGAGCACCGAAAAAATGGCTAGGTCGTCTTTTTGGGGATGACTTAATTCCCCCCACTTGCATCTTCGGGCGGGCGGGCAGCGACAGCTTGGATATTGACCTCGGTGTTGGTGGGGCACTTCGTATCGGGGTCAACGCAGACAGCACCATATCCGGGTGTGCAACAAAAGTGCTTCCTAACGGCAAGCCCCCCCACCATTCCCCCCCATTTCACATGTTTTAATATAGGCCTTAATTTGGGGGGAGGGGCTTAATTTCATTTCATGCCTATAAAACATGCTGGGACTTCCTATTGGGGGAGGCCGTATTGTTGGAGAAACAGGGTATAAGCAAACTCTTGGTGAAAAACGGAGGAGTTTACCTGTCTATTGTCCAACCATTCTGGTATTCTGGCAATCACAGCATAAAATAAATATTGTTTCAAGTAGAGTTGAACTAAGGGTGCTTACAAGGATAGTGCCTTCTTCTAGGATGTTTCTTCTACATTCTTATCTAGCTGATAACTGTAAGGTTTCCTGGGGATCCCCTTTGAAGTACTAATTTGATCTAATTCTGCTAATTTTTTTTTTCAAAGTCAACCAATTGATGCCACATTACATAAGGATAAAATGAACAGTAGTTGCAAAACTCTAACTCTGAAGTCGCAGCAACCATTGGAAACAAACAACCTACTAGTTATTATGAAAATGAAAATATTTAATCTCAAACCAAAGACAATATTGAACAGAAATTTGTAGCAACATGGATTTGGCCTCTGCATGATTCTGAAGAAATTATTGTTTTCTTCCAGTTTTTGCAGAGGCAAAATTTTAACCTGCCTAAGCAAACGGGTTAAAGAATCAGTTATGAGCACAGCTAAATATACTTTACTACAATATGTACATATGTCAGGATGAAGTAAATATCTTGTTTTTGTACAGCATGCACCATACTAAAAAACACTTGTTGCTTTACCTTGTTCGTGGCCAGCTCTTGAAAAGGTCAACAGCTTTTTGTAAAGGCTGAATGATTTTAAGTAAACCTTTCCTGCATCTTTCTCAAATATAGCTTCCTGTGTGAAATAAATGAATAAATCACCTTATGAAGCCATTTTTGGATGAGAGGAAAATAATCACAGTTGTCAGACAAGTATAAACACTTTTTTTCTGTAACAATGTCAATAATTAAAATAGTCAATATAAAATGACTATTACTCCAAACCTCTGGATCATGTAAATAAACTTAAGTCTCAAACTTTCCTTAAAAAGTAAAATCAACAGAATCTCATATTTCCCAACTCTTTATCTCTCAGTTTCAGAAAAATATTAAAAGTCTGAATCTCAAACTGGATTGTTCCAATTTCTTCCTTGTTTTAATTATGAAACAATCCTTTCTAATTTGTTGAATCACTTCCAGAGCAACTGAAATGCCTTTTTCCAAACCAGAAGTGTTTTCTTGATCAAACAAGTTTGAGAGCAATCTAATCTGGATGCAACAAATTTCATTATTGAATGTTTTGTCTTTCCCCAATTTACTCTCTGGCCAACAAAACTAACTTTTTTGTAAGACATTACAGTACTTACTTCCCACTCATCCAGGTTTTGTGCAGCTACAAAAAGACAGCCAACAAGATAAAAGAGTTTCCATCCCAGGCTATCTGAATAGCAAAATAATATTTCAAATTATGAATACATTTCTAATTTACACTTTGTTTAAATTATTTGTTGGCATTAAAATGTGGCTGAAGATAAAAAATAAATAACAATCACAGCAAAACTAAAAGGAGAATGAATAATTTAAGACCAGCTAGTGTGCAAATCAATTACAAATGCTTTCAGCAGCTCACTAAATGTTAATACGAAAATGATAGAAGCTGATACATTCCAACTGGTAATAATGTTTAAAACTGGCAATATACAGAGCTAAAACAATGGAGAAATTGTTGGGCAGAGCCTACTGAAGCAAATACCATAAGTTGCCATGTAAGAGAGAAGAGGAAGACAAAGACACCATCAACACTTGCTCTTACACTAACAAAAAATTGGGCATTTTGCCTCTTACATTTTTATTAGAAAAAATCGTCATTTTACACAAGGGGGGAATTATTAATTGAATCAACATTTTTAACACTTTCATACTTCCTCTCTTCCTTATGAGGTGTCTAGGAAAAATGGAAATATATACACTACAGAGTTCAGAACTGTTAACTAATTCCTCCTGAGCCCACTAGATGAGGCACAAGTCAGAACATAATAAATTTAAAGAATGGCAGAGAGAAATGTGAACGTGTTTTTTAAAAGATATCAACAAATGCAGTAACTAATCTTTTCTAATGAATTTACCTTCACTATAATAAGCAGCAGCTATGCCAAAGGAAGAGATCCCTATAGAGAAAAAGGAGAGGAATTGATTTACAATTTAATTCTACTATTTAAATATCTGATTAAACTATATAAAACTACAAGGTTATGTTTGCACTTAGAGGCATTTTAAATATTAACCTATACAGTGTTTGCTGTAGTCTCCAGCCCTGAAGAGAGCAAAAATTGTCAAAATTGTCTTTTTTAAAAAATGGACGTTAAAAAGTCCACTTGAGCTTTGTTTTAAACGTTTGGGAGAAACAGGCTTACCTACAAGGATAGACCAAGATCTGATACCCGGGGATCTCTTTAAGTGAAGGCGTGTGTTTGAATGACTTTCAACCTGCATATACATCTTTGGCAACGGATAGGAAGTCACAGTGCCACAAAGCACTCACAAAACCTAAAGAACAAGAACGCAGGAAACCAACTAAGTTATTGTTTTCAAGCAAACTGCAGTTTGGCAGGAACAGTTCCCCCACACATTTGTCTACGCTTCCAGCATTTTCCGCTATTCGAACCAAATGCATTCACACTCCCCCAATATGAACAGCCCCAAAGCCCTCGTTTCCCACGCTCCAAACCAACAGCAAATTCATAAACTTCGTTATATTGTTTATATAGCGTTTCAAGGGTGCAATTAGCAAACGGGAAATAAGAACGATGGGTTTATTTCCTCCCTTCCCTGCACCGCCCGCAGTCCATTCTAATAAATACAATACAATCCTGAATAAACGAAATGGTCCAGCGTCCTTCTCTCACTCTCTGTACTGCCCTTCAGACGTTACCCTTCTGGACACGTGCTAGACCCTTAGTTTAGTCCCAGGACTAAACTAAATAAAAAAAGGAAGTGAGTGTTGTGCGCAACTCTAGACTGCATGCTTCTATTGAACTTGAGGCGCGGTTCCCTTTCTTGGTTCTCCCGACCGTTTTAGAGAACTGCGCGGCGTCAGGTGTGTCTCCACGATCCCGCGGGAGACGCATCTCCGCCAAGCTCACCAAAGTGACCGCCCGTCGCTTTTCCAAAGTCTGCCGTGCGACCAATGCGATGCCGAAGAAGCATAGAACTAAGACAGTTCGCTATACTCAAATGGGCAGCGAGCTTTGAAACGTAGACCGCGCCTCAAGTTCAATAGAAGCATGCAGTCTAGAGTTGCGCACAACGCTCACTTCCTTTTTTGATTTAATTTTTCCTCAAGGCGAGGCTCAGGAATGGAAGAAGTTCTTAAGAAATGAAGAGAGCCGAGGGAACGCAGCGAAGACTTGAAGCGAGCGGGAACCTTGCTGCCTAATTTCCTACAAGGCTTTTGAGTCTTCTTCCCACGTTAAGCAATCGAGGGAACAGCGCTCGTTTGGTGGAGCGGTTTTATCAAGGCAGACTAATAATTTTACATTTTGTATGGTTGCAGTTGAATAGTATTCTTTGGTTTTTTTTTCTTTTTAATTTATTGTGTGTGTATGTTGTAACCCGCCGAGAATAGAACAGTCTATATTGGGCAACCTTGTAAATGTTTAGTAAAATAAGTTCTTGGCATCTCTGCTATAAATTAGGCATTTACAGTGCATTGTTCTAAGTTAATGTAGCTTGTCTCATTTTCACTTTATGCAGTGCATTAAACATTTAGATAAACATTATCAAAATGTTTTCACCTGTCGGAGAGTTTGGGCTAATTATTTCATCTGTCTTTCGAGCAAAAAATTTTTGGACAAGACATTTTATCATTAGCAGCAGACAAAAACAAATGCCACATTTTAAAAATGCAAAGTCAAGAATATTCTTTTATTACTGGAACAGATTTCATTTAAAAAAGGTCATCTGTTAGCAAAAAAGAAAATAATTTAACTGCGCAGTGAAAGAATTCCATAATTATTTCTGAATCTGAGTGCAAAATTTGGGGCAATGATTATATAGGAATGACATTAATGGAAGCATGTAAAACCTTCTGTGAAATAACATTAAGTAGAATATTGTCAGTTATAAAAAATAACTATTATAAAAAATAACCATTTCTTTAACAGATTAACATGCACACTGTGGCCAAATGTCTTATCATTCATTCCATTCCAGCCTCAACATTCCCACTGATATATACAATTCCATCCCTTTGTTCCATCCCTTTGTTCCTAGTTACATCACATATATGAAATGTTCAGTCTGACAGATGTAAGTATTGGTACCCTTATTTGTTTGTTCATTTAGTTTACTGCTTCAAACCAGATAGTTTTAAGTACTACTAATAAAATAGTACAATCATAATAATAATGAATACAATACTGTATACGGTAAAACTACTTGGTGTCAATGATGTGCTATCAATACCCAAAAGCCTTCTAAGAAGCCAGGTCTACAACAGTGGCCCCCAACCTTTTTTGTGCCACGGCCCGGTACCGGCATCACAAAATGATCTGCGGCCCGGTACCGGCATCAGCACGCATGGCAAGGCGAGCCGAGCGACCGGCCAGCCAGCCGTCCCCTGCTTCTCCCCGCCACCTTCAACTCCTCCTTTGTACCTTTGTCGATGGGCTTCGGGACAGTCACTCGGCTCGCCTTGCCTTGGGTGCTGAAAGAATCCTCACGCCTTAGTTTTGTTCAAAGCCCCCCCCCCCTTCGATGAAACTAAGGCGCGAGGATTCCTTCAGGACCCAAACGGAAAAGCTCACCGGAAGCACTTTCTCATCAAAACAAGATGGTGGCGCCCAGCAAACCAGCGGCCCGGTAGAAAATGTTCCACGGCCCGGTACCGGTCCGGGGCCCGGTGGTTGGGGACCCCTGTTCTACAAGGTCATAAGAGTGGGTTGTAACTTTTGATTTATGGAATAGAGTCAGGGGTGTGAAACTGGTGGCCCGCAGGCCGGATGCATCACACATAGGCCACACCCACCTCAACTCCGCAAAGGGGAAAAAAACATTGCAAAATGTCATGTGATGGCAACGTGAGATGGCGAGGTTGATACCCGTGGAATAGACAGTTCAAAAAGATGGCAATCATCAGAGAAAATCCCTGCTAACAAGCCCTCTCCTGACTACCTTCTGGTAGATGAGAACTTTTACCAGGTATCCTTTAACTATTCATGTGGGGTCTATCTGTAAAAGGTGGTCTCTTAGATTCCCAGGCTCAAGCCATATAGGGCTTTATAGGTAGTTAGCATGTTATTGCACTTGGAAACACAGTTGCCGGTCAAGCTCCAGAAACAGCTGTGTAAAAGGGAAGTAATGTGACTAGATCAGTGAATACATGGACACTGCATTGTGGGGCAAGTAAAATTTCTTGATGGTCTTCAAAGGCGGTCTCACATAGAACAAATGATAGTAATCTAATCAAGAGATGTCAAGGCATGGAGTGACTGCCCTCAACATGTCCTGTTCCAGACAAGACTACTAGAGCTGAAAAAAGGCTTCCTAACTACAGCATTCACCTGCTCTTTTAACGGTAGCCATGAGTCCAGGAGGATGTACAAATTACAAGCTTGTTCTTTAGGGCAGCATATACATGACAGCAAACTTTTTTTTTACTGTAAACTTCCTTAAAGCTCTTTAGAATCTGCAAACAATCATTAAATAGGGTCTGATTGAGTATCTTGCACACCTCCCTCCAACTGCTTAGCGATATTTGCCCAATGGAAACAAACTATATTGTAACACATCATAACACAAATAGTGAAGAGTTCAAAGTACACGCAGGTGCTGATGGATCAAAGGTTATATTTAAAAGCTCATATATCCAAAATTTTCAAACAAATTAATTTTAAGACATCTTGAAGGCAAAATATGGAATGTTCTACCAGTTCAATTTGTGGAATTTGAATTTCTTTTCAACATTTTTAATAGTTATTATTTAGATTTATATAGCTGCTAAACCAGAAAAAGTAAAAAGTAAAAATTCAGAGGTGTGAATGTTATAAAATATACATGAGTCAATACAGAAATACTAGCCTCGTGGGGAAATAAACAAAATTCCAATCACCCATTATTGACCTGGCATAATCCCAAATTGCTTCAGTCTCTAGTCCGCTTTCTCAACCTTGTCAGTTTAAGATGAGCAGACTTCAATTTATGGAATTCCCCAGCCTGTAGTCTAGCAGGCTGGCTGCGGAATTCTGGGAATTGAAGTCCACTTATCTTAAATTTTTACAAGGTTGAAAAACGCTACTCTATTTAAAAAGCTAGGTTTTGAAAACTAAAAGATAATGGTATTCTAGATAAGAGAACAGGAAGAGCAACAAAGAAGGAATATCTTAGATCCCACAACCTGACTGACAATTTAGTTGATCAAATAGACAGAAAAAATTACAGAAAGCAGTCCTGAAAATAACCAGATCTTATACCATACCAAAAACATACTGTACATCTTTTCAATTCTGCTGGGACTAAAGCAACTTGGAAATGCAGTTTTACATTTGCAAACTCACTACTGCAGCATATTGCAAATGTATGACTTCTAGAGTTCCATTAAGCCAATTGTGTGGAACATTCCAATTATTACCATTGGCACGATGCCAGTTTAACTCTAAGCAAGTTTTTTATAATGTTTATTCCAGATAAACTCAGAAAAGGAAAAGGCAAGAAAACTGTAAGCTTAATGGTTGATAAGTCCCTTAGTTCAATTCCTTATCCTGGACAAGATTTGGGTTCCCATAACCTCCAACATCCAAAGAACACAAAAGGCTGTGGAAATTAGATTGGAGGATTGGTTAGAAGACACAGGAAAAACACCTCTACAAGAAAAAAAAACAAGGAATAATTAATAAGCCAGAAGGGAGGAATCAGACTCACACTTTTAGGTGCTTCACGGATTGGGAGAAATGTAATTGTGGGGACTACCTATAGTTTTCCAGCTCTAGTTCTCCAAGTGAATACTATTAAAAAAAATATATATATCATCATTGCGGGGCGATTTTCACCTTTCTGACGCAAGGGGGCGCTGATCTTCGCTTGAGCCACGCCAGGGCCCGAGAGTACGTGACAGCTCTCAGGTCTACAATGAACGCCGGCGAGCGGCGGGGAAAGAGGGAAGGCCAGCGAGACTACCCCAAAATCAGGAGGAAAAAGAAGAGCGGTTTGCACCGCGTTTACTGTCATTTCAGGACGCCCTTCGCATCCTGACCCCGTTTCAACCCCGCTTCTCCGCTGGCCGTAGCCGTCCGCAGCGAGGGGCTCGCGCTAAATCCTCCTCCTAGGCATGCCCTTTGTGACTTAAGGCAATTCAGTGCAAGGTACCGTGCCCGCTTTTGTTTCTTTCCCTCCCCCTTTTGCTGCATGTGGGGATGTCCCCCCCCCTTTTTTTTCGCCCTCAGCGGGCACGGGCATTGCCTTCTGCCCTCCGCGGGCGAGACGCAGCGCCCGGCGCCCGCGGCCCCCCCCCCCCCCCCCCTTCCAAAAGGAGATTCCCTCTTTGCGTTGTGCTTGTGGCAGCCGCGCGCGTCGTGTGTGTCATCTCCCAGATAAAATGCACCGCTTGGGTTGGCCCTGTTAACTGGAGAGAGAGGGACGGTATTAATAAAACAACAACGCTTCGCCAGGGAATCCCCTTCGCAGGGCAAGCAGAGAAAGACAACTACTCTTGTTGGGTTTGATCTTAGGACGAGGGCAGGCGAAGGGAATCAACCAACCCATCCTTTAAAGCCAGCGGAGCGAAACCTCTCTGCACATTCTCGGTAAGGGAACTGGAGACACAATAGCCAGCGTGTCAGTTGTGCAAGCTGAAAAGTCATGCCTATGAGGGAATCTAGCAGATTTCCCTGCTATTACGCACCCGTGGCACTTGCCACTGGAAGGGTGGGTTGATTAAAAGCTATCCCCTACTGTGGAATCAGGTGTACTCCGGTCATCGTTATAAATTTATTTATTCTGCTCCTGTAATAAATGCAAGCTGTGCCTAAATCCTCAGAGGGATTCTGGGCATTTGCTTTGGTGCATCCCTGCTTGTTCAGTTCATAAGGATTATTACACACAGTGAGAGGGGTCACAAATGACTCTTTCTGGTAATTGAGTTGTGCTGTTTGGTCTTCAGAACTTGAACATTTTGAAATGAAAGAGATGGGGTATGTTTGGTGGAGCTGTGACTTGATGTAAGGTGGTTGAGGGAGCACCTGTGGTCAGATATTGTCAGACTCTGGCTTCTCTCAGGGCCATCCAGAAAGCAAGATTGTTGAGGATTGTGGTCCAGCAACATGAATGGTTTGGACACAGGCTCCACATCCATAGCATAAAAAAATATTGGGGACTTAAGGGCATCAGGGATGAGAAGTTATCCTGTGGACCTGTTGTGCAGCATTAGGGGTATCTTGAAGTACTTTTCTTCTATTAGTAGCAGAATTGTCTCGATGTTCATAAAGTGCTGAAAAGAAGCTGACAGTCTTGTGCTTTAGTCTCTTGGAGGAGAATTCCATTACTTTGCCAATTCAAGAATGACTTGCAGGCATTTTCTGTGTACTGTACAATACTGTTTTCATATCTGAGATTGAAAGACACTCATTCCCATTTCTGAGAAGAAAGGTTTGCTCAACTCCTTCTGGACTATAAATAAAGCATGAAAAGAACCTGATAGGTGTAGTTTACACTCATGCACACAGCTTCATTTTTCATCTCATGGTTATTCATGATATATAGTATTAAATAAAAGATGGAGAAAAGTTCTGCCTTTTTGCCTTTTGCCCTCTCCTCTCTGGACATGAAAAATGCATCTGATTGTAAAACAACTGTTTGCTTGGGTTCCCATGGCAAAGAAGCAAAATGGTATACGGAGCAATAAAACTGTGTATCCTGGAGCTAATAATTGACAGGAAAATAAAAAGTATTTTAGTTTGACAAATTTTCCACATCACGAGAGTTGAGAAGGCAATTGCTGTTTTCGTTAGTTCTGCAAATGAGAAGATTAAAAACTTCCACTTTTCAGCAGAAATGGGACTGGCAGCTGAGCAGTCAGGTGGTTCCCTCTTTCAAAGTTTCTTATTGGCTCTAGAAGGTCTCATTCAAAAGAAAGTGCAGAATAGGGCTGAAAAACTGGAATAATAATGAGGGAAATCCGCTACAGCTCTTCTGCTGTTTTTCATTATTCCAGACAGGTGGAAAGTAGGAACACTGGCTCCTTTTTCTGAGCACACCTGGCAGCAACTCAAGAGAGAGACCCAATTTTGCCAAAATAAAAAGTACCAAAGACAGACCTACCAATGAAGTGTGAAAATTGCACCAAAAAGGTGAGTCTTATTTTTATTATTTATATTGTGCTACAGTCCCAATGCACAAGCACTGGGCAAAAAAACTTTTGGCTAGGCTCTATCTCTCTGAGCCTTCTTGAGGTAGTTATGCTGTGGGAAAAACAGGAGAAAGCACTAACTATGTTATTTTGAGCTCCTGAAAGAATGGTGCAATATAATTCTAATACATTCATACCTAAACAAAGCCGTGTACCTTTTGAAAACAAGCCCAATGGAACTTACTAAAATATATTTGCAAATAAACATGAAGCTTTCTGCTCTTGTGGTGGTTGTTCCTCCTATCCAGAAAGAAATGGATAGTGATAATTAAAAGTAATCTATCTGGACAGAAAATGCTTTCTTTTAATCTCCAAAACTTGGCTTACGAATTGGAGAAAAATATATAATTGATGTCTGGGATGAGAATAATTTTAAACAACGCTATTATGGAACCTTTTACATATCATTAGTATGGTGTTTAAAGTGGTGCATAGTTATAAATGTGCATTTATAGCATGAAATGATAAAAAATAGATTACATTTCAACTCTGTTCAGTTGTCTTCCCTACACTGTACCTTTCAAGAATCTTGGGCTTCAACTTACATAGTTTTTGGCTGGTGTGGTCATACTGGCTGGAAAGTATAGAAAGATTTGGGAGCTACTAGCTTAAGGGAAGTTGTTGTATATTTATAGTTTCTGCATAAATAAGAAATAAATTGCATCAATGCTTTAGCTGTTTAACCTCAGAATTTCCATGAATTTCATGAGTTAACTTCTTCATTTCTATAATGTTCGCTATTGTAATTGACCAGGACAGTATATGTTCCTTTTTGATGTTAGGACCATATAGTTAATAGTTAATATTATTTGGAGAAATTTGGAGACTTTTTTCTTATTGAGTGGGGGGAAAGGCGGTGGGACAAGCTCAGATTATATATGTATGTGTGTGTGTGTGTGTGTGTGTGTGTGTGTTATAGGCTGACCTTGCTTTTTGTAGTTCTAACTCCTTGTAGTTTAACACAAATGCTGTTCCTTCACAGTCTCACCACTTGTGTGGATAAGGTCTTATCATTTTGTCCCTGTTGTTAAGAAAATCTTAACAATCCCCTTCTTTCCCCCATCTTTTTTAAACTTCTTTTTGCCTTGTGTGAGTGGGACATATTATTAGAAATAGTTAATGTGTACTGCATTTTATTTATCAAGATGAAAGTGAAAAGTTACATTAACCAACAGATCAAATTTGAAATTTGGTTTCTGTATCATTAAAAATACTGTAGAAAACAACTAGCGCACAGACTGTTTTCATTGCTTTCCTTAAAAACAATTAGTGCTGCATCAAATGTAGATCTTTCAGTTCAGTTAATATTATAAATCCATAATGTTATTATAAATTTAATATATTAAAATACAGAAGAATAGTACATTCTAGTTACTCTGACATGTTTTTTAAAAGAACAACAACATCAATTGAACTAGAACCAAGAGCAACAGGAATATTTTGGAAGTGCATGGCAATATAAAGTGCTTCATTTCCTTTCTTTTTCAGACTTCTGTTCTAGTCAGTATTGTTATTTGATCTGAATTTAATTTGATTAGGGTAAGGGATTATTCAGAAAAATACTGGAGGGGAGTAGTAATTAAAACAAAATACTGACAATCTGACCTATTCCAGAAGGTATATATTTTTATTCTATTTCTTACAGAAAAGGAAGGTTGCCAAAGTCCATTGACTTCAACTACTGTAGGCATTTTTGTGTGTGGTGGATATATTATACATGCATTTTTTTGGTAGAGGTTTCAGAACACATACATTTGTGCTCCTTTCCCTTGAAGACTTTGCAGTTATGCTGGTCCTTTTTTGTTTTTTGTAATGAGTTATTTAATTGTTTAGGTTTCTGAAAATAGAATATACTTCAGGAGTAATCATTTTTGACATTTATGTCCTACTGTAATATCCACTTTTTAAAATTTTACCTTTGTACCAGTCCTGAGAGTTAGCTAGTGATTTAGCAAAGGCAGAAACTAAGGAGTTCCATGTTTGAAATCAGCAAGTTGTCTACCTCCCAAAGACCTTAGGAGACTTTTGTTATAGTGGATGCTAACTGGCTATCTAGTATATTAAGGTTACTGGATCTAGACATCAGTTTTCATATTTACTGCCATTGGAGAGAGAAAAATACTTCGTCTATTTCTATTGGATTTTCTTTCTTTTATATTTTCCTTCTGTTACCCCTTCTGAGATGGCAGCAATTCCTTTATTTTATTCCAGTGGATTGCTCTGAAGCTAAGCACGGTCAAGTTTGGTTAGTACTTAGATGGGAGACTTCTATTAAATTCTAGGCCTGTGAAAAACATTCCAGAAGAAGGCAGCAATAAACCATGATGTTGCCAGGAAAACTGCAAGGTTGCATCTGCGTACGTACCAGAATTCAAGTTCAAATTGATGGTATCTTTGCCTTAAGCGCACCCTGCCTTATCAGTAGTATTATATAAATTATTAGCCATATATGTTGTTTGGCTAAGTTTTGCCAGATATATACAATTCCCATTACGTGATCCCATGGACAATTTCCATCTTCTTTTATTCTACCTCAGGTGGCTTTGATCAGTGATTGTGTTGCTTCTGAACAAATGATATTTTATGCTATGTTTCAGGAATGTAGTAAAAAACAGAAGAATGATGATCCACAAAACGCAACAGTTGATGTTCTCAATTCAAATGATGAAAACAAAGAGGTAAATTCCTTTTAAATGAATCTCTGAATTGCATTGCTCCCCAGACAGTTTAAATTAATCTTGACTAGGCATTTCTGAAGGTGGCTGAAAATGAAGATAACCCCCTTCCTTGTTAATTTCAGCATTTAGTTGCAACTTACTCTTGTGGTTTGCAGCAGCATTCTTTTCTTGTTTAGTTTCATAAATTCTTGTGCCGCAATTAGATTTCTGAATGCCAGACTATTGAAAAGATTATAATTCTGAAGAATTCCCACCAAGCTACTATCCTGATTTCCCTAATCATACATTTCACTCTAAAGGCCTGCTAAACATTAATGAAATTATTCTGCATTTAAAAGAAGCTCTTTGGAAAAAAGCATATCCAGAATCCAGTGGTAATATTTAATGCAGTACAAATAATCTTTCTTAATTACTTCACTTAATTCTCAAAGTAAATGAATCTTTAAAGTCACAGGAATTAGTCTCAGCTCACTGTTAAGATCCTTCCTAATCTAAATATCATTTCCCAGAAAGATTGGCTGTTGTGGAGAAATATGTGACCTAAGTAAGTGTGTTCTTGCTGCTTTTGCCCACTTGTATCTCGCACTGGCCCAAATTTATGCCAATTACAGGTTTTGCTTTCCTTTGCTCTGGCACGTGACCTTGATCTTCTCCCTAGCCTAGTGTGAGATAATGTTAAATCCTCCTTTGCTGTATCAGGGTTAAAGTGGTCTTTTCCAAGGTCAGCTTCAACATGTGTAACTTGGAAGCTTTGGAAGAAAATCTGGCAGTGACTGGGAACAAAAGCCACAGAGACAGGATAAGGATTGGTTACAGAGGTAGCCAATTGCATACCAGTGGAGTATGAATTGATTGAATTGAACTGAATTGAACTGAACTGAATAAATTAATTTAAGGTTTCTAACTATTCAAGGATTGGGGGAAGAGAATCTTTCAACTTGTCATTGGAGAAAAGTTGCTAGGATTCTATTCAAACCAGGCATTGATTATGCAGCAGAGAGAGATATAATTACTTCAAAAAAGAAACTAACCTTACTAAAGTGGACTGCTGCCTTCATCTGAACAATAGCATTCAAATTACAGAGGTGAAAGAAAGCAGGATGTAACCTTTCCACTTTGCTTTTTTCTCAGCCAGCCACTTCCCCCCCCCCAAAAAAAAGCTGGGGGGGGGACCTAAATTAGATTAAAGTGGAGGGAGTAAAATTAGAGAACCTACAGGTTTAATTAAGGGCTGTGCCTGCTTCCCCATAATTCAGGTGTTATAGACAGAACACTTACCTATTGTGTGGTACTTAATTGTTCATTACTTCTTATTTCAAGAATAACTGCACTATGTTCTTTTTTTTAACTTCATCATTACATTTTCTTGATGGATTTTTTTTTAAATTTATTCATTTCCAGAAAAGTGAATTCCATAAGTTGGCTAATGCTAAAATATTCCTTAGTGATTGCCTAGCTTGTGACAGTTGCATTACAGCAGAGGAAGCAGTCAAAGTTTACCAGCAGAATCCAAATGAGTTCTTCCGTGTATTGAACCTTAATAAGGTAAAAGGGATGGTGTTTGTATGCCTAAACATGTCCAGGAAGTTTTCTGCCCTAACATGTCACTCTAAAACATTGTGGTACATCCAACTTCTTGTTTTCTTTGCCTTTCCTGTTTCCTACTTTTAGATTTTTCCTCTGAGATCTTTCCTTAAAAGCTGTTCTCAGTTCTTCAGTACTTCTTTCCATACTCATATTATAGCCAAATATCTGTTACTTGTTCCTTATATTCAAAACGCTTCAAATCCATTGCTTCTGATTAGTGACTTGTTAGTGCTAAAATAACGTTGATGCGGATGACAATCATCGTTTTTCCAGGCATACAATTTGGGTGGTATTTTTAAAATTCCCTTCTTTTTTAATACTATCCATCCAGTGTATCATCAAATGTCCTGGCATCAAATTTTGAATAATTCTAATGTCTACCTTTTTATTTGAGTTCCAAAATCCTGGTTCTCTTATTTCTTTCTGAATTATTGAACAGACTTAACAATGAATCTCATTTGAAATCTTTTCCTCTCTTTCTACTTATTATTGCACACCATTTTGCTTTCCTTTTTAGCTTTTACCCTGCATCCTTTTTTTTTTCCTGCATGCAGTGTGGAGGGCCTTACCCAATCAAATCCTTTCATTTGTTTACTCTGCCCTACCTTCTTTCATTCAGCACGCCCATGCTGACGTGTTTCTATTAATCTACCTCCTACTCCCTTTTTCCTTTTCTAATCCAGAAAATTCCTTTCCACCCCTACATTGGATATATTTTTTCTTTGGCCCTACCTCTATTCAGAAAGCTCATTTGATTAATCTTGTTAAATTGTTTATTTAAGATTGAGGGGGGGGGAACTATTTTAACTTTACTTTTTGATTCCCCACACCACCCCATTTTCTTCTGCTCCCTTTGCTATAGTTTTCTGGTTTTGAATGTGAATTTGTGAATGTATCTTCTGAATATTTTATGATGCGCACCTTCCAATGCTGGGATTTTATTTGTTTTCTATTATTATTTTTATTACATTATATGTTACATTGTCCTGATTTGGCTATTTATTATTATGGGGATGTTTTGTTTTTGTCTCATTCTAACTCAGAGGTTTATTTGCTTTAATAAGAATTGGCACCGGGTATAAAAAAACCAAATTTCTGTATGAAGCAACACTGCTTGATGTAAGAAAGCCATCTCTTGTATAAGCTAGACTCTAAATGTTTGTACTTAACACACCCGTGTGTTTTATTTTGCTTTCCAGAAGTGTGATACCTCAAAACACAAAGTATTGGCAGTATCTATATGTCCTCAGTCCTTGCCTTATTTTGCTGCTAAATTCAACCTCTCAGTAACAGAAGCAGCTAGGAGGCTTTGTGGCTTCCTCAAAAGTCTTGGTAAGTTTGCTACTAGATGAAAAAAAGAAAAGAAAGTGGAAGACAGCATTAAAAAGATTGTTGTTTCTTTAAAAAAAAACATTGTTGCTTCCTTAGACAAAGTTTTATAGCATGTGTGTCAGGGTACAGGCAAGGATTGCAAAATGGTTGAGATAAGTGAGTTGTTTATGGATATGATCACAAGCGTTATAAATGGGGATATAATTAGGCAGTTAAGGCAGCACAGACAAGGCAAGAACACATATAAATCTTTCCATTATGTTTTTGTTCATAATCAAGGCATCTAAAAGTTTGCATTACAGAATAAAAATGTCCAGTATAGAGTTTTAAATCTTTCCAAGAATTGCACATCCCCTGGAGATAGTCAGCTGCCATGGAGAGGATTAAAGGGAAAGACCAGGACTGCATCTACTTGCCTTCTTTATCCAATGTTCTAGGCAGTGGTGGGCGTGGCTGGGGAAGGATACTGTAAAATCTCCAGTCAGAGGTGGTATTTGCTGGTTCTCCGAACTACTCAAAATTTCCACTACCGTTTCTCCAGAACTGGTCAGAACCTGCTGAATACCACCTCTGGTTCTAGGCATTTGGACTGACACCTGGGAAGAGATCTGCATGCTTCCAACCTTGATTACATGGTCCTTGCCCACTGCTTTTGCTGGGGAGAGATGATATAGTTACAACCGCTATTCCAGGGGTGTCACACTTGCGGTGTCACATTGTCGTCACGTGACGTATCACAACTTTTTTCCCCTTCACTAAACCGGGGGTGGGCGTGTCCAGCAAATGACGCATCCAGCCCGCAGGCGATGAGTTTGACACCCCTGCTCTATTCAGTATGGAAGGGGACAGCATTTGAATGCAAGGACATAGGTGATCCTGATGTCATACACAGACATTCTTTTACATAAATCAGTAGTCTCCTCAGCTTTAAAAAATACTTGCATACTGCTTGAAGGAAAAGAGGCAAATGCTATTGTTAATTCAACTATAAGTTGGTATACTAGAAAGCTGTGGCACAGGAAAAGAGGAATTTGTTGTGGAATTGAAGATGAGTTGAAAACTTGTATTGTTTTCACAATTTAGCCAGTGGGTGAATCACTATTTTTTTTAAAAAAAAATAACCTTGCCAATGAACTTACAAGATCACCAATTCCCCACCCTAGTTGCAGATGACCAAAAGTCATACAGACTTGATCTGGGTTTTCAGCAGCCGAAAATGGGCATCAGCTTCCCATACAACATGATTTCCATTTTCTTCAGTATTTAAACTGAGAAGATATAGCACAGCAACAAGTGTATCTCCATTTAAAAGGATCTTAGGCAGGGGTGGGCTGCTGGGGGTTCAGGAGAACCCCTAGCTAAGATTCTGCACAGTTTGGAGAACCCCCAAATCCCACTCCTGGCTGGCCCCGCCTACCCCACCCTTCCCAGGAGTCCCCATGCGGCCTGTTTTGGATGAAGGTAAGTGCAGGGCGTGTGTGGGGAGGGCGAAAAATGGGACTCCCAGAAGTTCGGAAAGGCTAAAAATAAGCCCATTTCCAGCTTTCTGAGAGCATCCAGAGCCCAGGGAGGCCATTTTCGCCCTCTCAGAGGCTTGAGGAAAGCCTCCAGAGCCCGGGCAAGGCAAAAATGCGTCCCCCAACGCCGCTGTGGTGCAGGAGGCTGACTAGGCCACACCCACACCCACCATGGCCACGCCCACCCAGCAACCAGATAGAGAACCCCCTTGCTAAAATTTTTGAAGCCCACCCCTGATCTTAGGAGATAATTGGAAACTTTTGCTCAAGAGCTGCTGTCAGGCAAAACATAATACTAGGCACTAACAGCATAATATATGGTGAATACTTTGTCTTAGGGCACTTTGAAATGTTTCCTGCAGTTTTGTCCTTCAGAGGATAGCATCTTTTACTATAGAAAAATGGTTTATTTGTGATTCTCCACAACAGTTGATCATGCCCTTTACTTTTGAAAGTTGATCTCATGACTATGTATATTCTGTCTTTGAGTCTTTTTTCATCCTCCATTGCCCTAATGAATGATGAAGAATCCACATTGGGAATGAATGATAGGAAGGAGAGTAGGACAGCAGGAAGTAGGCTACAGGAACAACGTATTTGAAGGTTTGATCAAATTTCTCGGTAGCAAGGAAGGATCTGTTAATGAATTCTGTAGAATTAAAGATGATCTTTTAGGCTGCTGCTTGCATGGGTGGATGGAGAGGTTCCATTTAAATCTTTTCCACATGAAAATAAAAGTTTCACGTGAAATGCATAGGACACATGCCAAAAACCAGCATTGCCTGGAGAAAAAAAGTAATTTAGTTCTGTAATTGATCTGTTCTCTAGGAGTGCATTATGTCTTTGACACCGCAATAGCTGCTGATTTCAGTCTTCTGGAGAGCCAGAAGGAATTTGTGCAACGGTACCGCCAACAGAATCAGGGAGAACATGTTTTGCCAATGTTTTCTTCTGCCTGCCCAGGTGAGAAATCTAAATCCAGACATGCTGTAATTTGCTTTTCCAATGTTTTCTGTAATGGGAGGTGAGTTCGTTCAGTAATGATGTAGACAATGAGTTTCCTGAAGTGTGTTTCTCTCAATTGGCTTGTCTTAGTGTTGGGAAATTAATTTTTATTTTAAAAACACAGCAGCAAAGAAACTTCTGTTTTTCCATTCAGAAGAGTGGTATCAGTTTCAGTTCCATAATAGTACTTGTCAGCCTGTAGCAAATAGTAATAGCAAATTCTGACAGAGGGGAGTCCAGTTTGGTTCATTTTTCCCCATTCTTTTCTCTTGTAATGTTACTCTTTCATCATGTTATAATTTATAGCAAGTCAGATTTCCCTAGCTGTCTTGTAATGGAGCATTTAATGAATGTAGTTACAAGCAGGCTGATTTCCTGCCACTTCCCTGGGGTTTTCTTCCCATTTTTTTAAAGCATTATTTTTAAAACCCTTTGCATTATATTTGCCTCAAAGATCACTGATGTTGGCATAACATCATTGTTTGCCAAAGCAATTCAAACAAAAAATAGAATAGCATAGAATAGAATACAGAATTGTTACATAGAATAATAATACAGAAATATTTTTAGCATATGGACAGAAACCAGATGTAGACGAACTACTATATACTAATTTTCAGTAATATCATAAACAGTAAGGGGAGAAGGGAGGGAGAGAGGTAGGGAGGAAGGAAAGGAAAGGAAAGGAAAGGAAAGGAAAGGAAAGGAAAGGAAAGGAAAGGAA